GCTTACCTGCAAAAGGTCTCCTCACTGCCCTTGGGATTCAAAACCTTAACAGGAAAAGGGGGAAGCAAATCTTAAAACAGGCACTGCCACCTCCTTTGCACCTCCTGGACCCCTGGCCTTTCCTCCCTTCTCTGCCCTCTAATGCTGGATGTTACCCAAATGTCCTCATCCATCCTCGTTCCTCAGCAGTTAGGCTGGGGAAGCTCCTCTGCACTGTTCCCACCACCAGGACACACGGCTTTTTGGGCTGCCACATCGACAGTGACCACGAGGATGTGATTCCCCGGTTACCCAATGGCCCCTCCGCCTTCCAGACTGGTAGCTGGAAGGCAGCCTCTCTTTGTCCTCTCTCACCAGCACAAGACTGCCCAACAGTGAAGAATAATTCTTCAGCCAAGGAACTATACCCACCCGCCCTCCTCTTACAGCATTTCCCAGCCCCCAGTCCCCCAGCACTTTTCCCCTCCTGGTATGGGGATTGCCAGGGCGTTTGCGCTGAGCAACATTCCTACCCCACCTACACCCCTTTTTCTTCAGTCAGAGTCTCACTAAATCGCGAGGCCGCTCAGGCTGGGCTCAAACTTGCCATCCTCCTGCCTCAGCCTTCCAGAGTGCTGGGATTCCAGGCATGCGCCACCACGCCCCGCAAGCATTGTATTATTTACAATCAAGACTATTGGCACGTGTCACTGCTTGCTCTTTCAGTCCCTGTTGGTTGCTGGCCCCAGGCTCACAGCGGTAACTCTGCCTCGCACCTCTGGGATCCTCTGCCCACCAAGGGCGCTGACTACGCCGCCGCGAGATCGTGAGCCCTGGGCTGGAGCTCCCGGGGTAGAGGCGGCAGGATCTGGACGGGTGCACCCGGCCGCTCCAAGAGGCGGCCACAGGGGGGCCCCGGCGCCAGCTCCGGACCAGGCCCGCGAGGCCCGGCGCAGCGCGCACATACAGGGAAGGGGGCACCGCTTCCCGGAGCGCGAGCAGGGCTGGGGTGATCTCGCGCCGGGACAGGACTCCGGCCCCAGAGCCACGCTCCAAGGTCCAGCCCGGGGAGCGAGCGCCCCCACTCCGACGGGTCCTCGCCCCCCACCCGCCGAAGTCCACACCCACCTGCCTAGGGCGAGCGCGGGGCCGGGGGGGGGGGGGGGGGCGTGCAGTCAGGCTCCGCGCCCTAGCGCAGCGCGCTCCGATGCCGTCACCGGGACCCCAGCCCCCCCAAACATCCCTCCCGCCGCCTTCAACTCCGCCCGCCCAGCGCTGAAGGCGGAGGGAGGGGGAGCCGGGTGGCGCCGCGAGTCAGCCGCTGACGGGGCGGGGCCTTGGCAGGGACGGGGCCTTCCCGGGGCGGGGCTGGAGAAAGAGCCTGACGGCGTCTCCTGCTTTGCTAAGTCAGGTCTCCAACCCTGAAGCCTGTCTGATCCACGGCTCAGAATCCCTTCTTCAACCAGCTCTGCTTTCTGTTCTGCGTGCTTACCTGTCCTCCCTGGGAGAGAAAAACAAGCCAGCAGAAACGTCCATCTCCCTAAGTTCAAAGACTAATTTCCTCTCATTCTAGCATTTCTCAAAGTAAATTGTGTCTTACAGTCATGGTCAAGGGAAACTTGTCACCAGGAGATGTGAGAGAGTGCTACAGAGGTGTCCACGTGCAGCTTAGGAGATGGTGTCCTCTCCTCTGTGACAGCGGTGGGATTGTGTGTGTGTGTGAGGGGAGTACCGCGTGTGATTGATTTTTAGTTAAATCTGAAAACAGCTGGAGCTGCAACTCAGTGGTGAGCACTTGCCTAGCACTCCAAAAGCCCTGCGTTCATCCCTGGCCCTGAAAAAGAAAAAAGAAAACAAAAACAAACACTCTGGAAACGTATTTGTCACTTAAATATCATTAGAGAAATTGAGCTCTAATGCAATAGTGAAATTTAGCATGCACATACAGTAGGAGAAGATCACAGGTCACAGGCAGCACAATTAAAGGCAGGTGGAGTCAGGGCCTCATTACCAAGAACCTGGCTCCCCTAGCGCTCCTTCCTGCCAGACACAAAACATCCAGAGGAGGAAGAGCAGTGCGCAGTGTCTGTGGATCAAGGGATCTTTCCCTGCAGGCTGCTTTACTTCACACATCACATACCACACGGCTTAAGCCTGTTTGGCCCTGAGATAATCGCCAGCAAGGGGTTGGCATCTCTGAGATTGGTTTGCTGTCCCCAAGCAAGACAACATGGAGCCTGGGATGCCATCCACAATCACATTCAAGAATCTTGTCTTGGAAGAAGCTGGCCAACTAATTCAGGGATTGCAAAGACTGTCATTCAGGTACCAGACATCTGTGTGAGTGGCTGCAGAAGCAGTGGCACTTCCTACAATGAACAAGACCTCACTTAAGGGGAAACTAAGAATGCAAGTACTTGGGAAGTGTAGATGCAACTGCATTGCTCACCTACATGCTGGAGAATTACACTGTTGGTACCAATACTCTCAGGCTGAACAAGAAGAACACAGAGCCCCCTGCCACCATGAGGACCAAAGGGATACATTCCTTTAGACTCTGAGTGTAATAAAACTGAAGGCTAAACTTGGTCTTTTTTTTTTTTTTTTGAGACAGGGTCTCACTATGTAGTTCATGCTGGCCTTGAACTCAGTATGTATCCCAGGCTGGACTCAAATTCATGGCAATCCTCCTGACTCAGTCTTCTGAGTGTTAGAATTACAGGTGTGAACCACCACACCTGGCAAAACTTGGATCTTTACGGACATAAATGTAATAAAATGTGATAGTGATAGATGAAACACCACATTTCAGAGGAGTTATGATTAAAATTATAATTATTGGAAAAAAATTATAATTATTGGGCCAGGGATTTAGCTCGGTGGTGCCGCACCTGCCTTGTAAGTGCAAGGTTATGAGTTTGATTCCTGGTACAAAAAAATTGTAATTATGATTGTTGCTAAGGAAATATCTAAACAACCCTTCTAGCTTCATTTGCTCTTTTTTTCCCTGCAACATTGGGAATCAAACCCAGGGCCTCTTCCATGCTGGGTAAACACTATAACTGAGCGATACCATTGGCCTTTTGTGTTACTTTATTTTGTGGCAGTGTCTCCCTGACTTACTCAAGCTGGTCTCCAGTTTACAATCCTCCTACCTGAGCCTGCTGAGTAGCTAGGATTATAGGTGTGTGCCCCATGCCCAGGCTTTACTTGTTCTTGATTGACTTAAAAAATCACAAGTTTTGGCTTAGTGTTCTGACATGTGTCACCACACCTGTAATCCCAACACTTGGGAGGCTGAGCCAGGAGGATCACCATGAGCTCCAGGCCAGCATGGGCTACACGGTGAGTTCAAAACCATCCTGAACTACAATTTGAAACTCTGTCTCAAAAAAAAAAAAAAAAAACAGAAACACCAGACATGAAAGGAGGAAAAAGAGGAGCGCCGGAAAGGAAGATCTCAGCCTATTCCAAGAAAAGGCATGAATATTCCTCCTCTTTATTGGCCCCGCTCCCTCCCTCATTATTCCCACCCTATAGTGGTAACCCCTGAACTCCCTGGAATCAAGAAGCTGCCTGTGAGCAAACCTCCCTCCTCTCCATTCTTCGGCCATGAAGAATAGTCTTTCTTCTACCCCAATACTTACCTGTCAGACATGGTTTTCCTGTGGGCTCAACCTCCAGACCTGGGTTTCTGACACAATTATAGTAATTAAGCTGTACACAAAATAAAACCTTTTATGTCACAGTAAACTTTTCAAAAAATTTTGTGGAGTTCAAGTCCATTGGAACTATCACTATGAATTCATGGCTCTAGAAGCACCCTTTCCTAGCTCTTGCCATGGGTATGCAATGTGTTTATGTCCCTCACCAATACCCATCTGGGACAATCTGGCATGCATACTCCCATGTCCAAATTCTGATCTTTATCTCTATTCCCCATTCAAAATAGCTGGTTCTACATACTGGGTCAAGAGCTGGATTTTGTTTAGAGAGGGTCAGAAAAATTAGATGCTTTTTTTTTTTCCTGGTACTAGAGATTGAACTCAGGGCCTTTGCACTGAGCTATATCTTCAGTTCCTTTTTGTTTATTTTTTCCTCCTTTTTATTCTTATTTTTAGGTACCGGGGATTGAACTCTGGACTTTGTGTTTGTGAGACAGATGATGGAACCACTGAGCTAAATCCCCGACCCTCCTCTTCATTTTGAAACAGAATCTCATTAAGTTGCTGTTGCCCAGCATAGGCTTGAATTTGCAATCCTCCTCCCAAATAGCTGAGATTACAGGAGTGTGCCCTGTGCCCAGAAAATTGCTTTTAAAATGTGTGTTATAGGCCTGGAAATACAAAGGTCTCAAGCAGCCAACTTGTTAATATTAAAAGAGTAAAGACTAATCATAAATAATTGAAATAAGTTGAATTTGTAGAAATCCCTTCTGTGGAATTTGGCAAGCTGATTTTATTACCTATATGAAAAAGCAGATCCCTAGAAGTAGCAAAGATTTCCTGCAGAGGGGGGAGGGCCATTGCCCAAACAGATAAGAAAACATATTTGAAATTATAGTGTTAACACCACAGGAACAGATAGGATCTACGCCCAGAAGCTAGATTTATGACAGAGCTGGAGTGCAGATTAGTGTCAGACAGTCAGACTGTACAATACATCAGGAAGAATATTTGCATCTAGCTAGATGCAAAACAACATTATCGAGGCATCAGAAAACAAAATTTAGAAGCTACCAGTGGACTTCTAAGAGAATTCCTAACACTTTCTGCATATTCAGCTAGAAATTAAAAGTTCAAGCAATTATAAAGTATATAGGACAATCAGTTTTCCACAAGGGTGAAAAAAATTATATTCCCTACTTAAATCATATCAAAAACCCCAACTAAGTATAGAAAACAAAACTATAAAAGTATTAGAAGAAAATATAAAGGAATATCATGATAACTTCATGATTAGGAAAAAAAAACTCAAAATTACAAAACATAAAGGAAAAAAGAAATGATAATTTGACTAAATTAAAGCTAAGAACTTCTGTTTATTGAAAAAAATTGTGAAGGAAAAGATAAACTACAAGCTGGGAAAAGATATATGTGACATGAATAGCACATAAAAATTATTATCCTTTATCAAATATAAGGAAAATACAAAGAACTTTTCTCACAAAGTCACTAAGTTACCCAGGTTGAGCTTGAACTTGCCTCAGCCTCCCAAGTGCTAAGATTTCAGCTGTGCACCACCACGCTCGGCACAAGTGATCATAAACATATGGAAATGACTCAAATGTACACTGACAGATTAGTGTGGCAGAAGTTGCAAGTTGCCCCTTCCCCTGGGGTCTACTTCCCCTCCCTTTAGGACCTCTGATTTTTAACTGGATGGATAACCATTTCAAATGAAAACTGTATTTCCCAAACCTCTTTGTATCTAGGTGAGACCACATGTTATGGTTTGGGTCTGGATGTCCCCCCAAAGCCTCACACAGTCATAGGTGGCTTTTTCAGAGATGGCTGAATACAGAGTATGTGATTGCTTCTTTCTGTCTTTGCAGCCCTGTCATAACAGCTTCTGGGGAACTCTCCTTGCTAGACCTCAGAGGGCTGCTGGGCATGGTGAGTATGGTGGGGGTGTGCATGTCCTCATATATACATTCAGCAGCCACCCACGTCCCCATTCTTGGCATCCTCAGACTCTAAAACCATGCATTAAGGCCTGTAACTCATTACTCCAAAGATCTGCCAAGGCCCCAGAGTCCGTTTCAGGGAGCTGGGATCTCAGGTATGCAACAGAGGAGCAGCCACGAGGGAACTGGTGGGTGTAAGGGGGAATCTAGAAGGGACAGGTGTACATGTGGATGTGTAAAAGGGATGACAGATGTGTTGTAACTATCTGTGCAGATGAAAACAACTAGAAAAACAGGGTTTGGTTTGCAAGGCTACTTGGTATTCTCACCCAATATTTAAGAAGCACACATTCTCACCCAGCATGTCATGATGCCATGGTTACAAATTACAGTCTACCATTGATATAGCCACTCATGTACATGAGACTTTTTACTTTGTGGTGCTGAGGGTGGAACTTGGGTTTTGCACATGCTAAGCACACTCACTATCATTGAGCTACACCCCCCAGCCCTTCATGAGACATTTTTGATAAAGACATTTATTATAGCACTGTAGCAAAATGATTGGGAACAACCTAAAAATCCACCATCAGGGGGCTGGTTAAATCAAATATGGTACAACTGTGTTATGAACTTACCATTAAAAAGAGCAAGTGGGGTTTGTGATGCTGGTACAAAGAGATCTCTAAGACTGTGTGTGTGCCTGTTTGTGTGTGTGCGTGTGTGCGCGCACATGGAAAACGAACCCAGGGCCTTCACACTGAGCTACATCCTCGGCCTTTTTTACTTTTTTGAGACAGGGACTCACTAGATTGCCCAGGCCGACCTGAACTTGTGATCCTCCTGCCTTAGCTTCCCGGTGTTGAGGTTACAGGCCTGTACCACTCTGCCTGGCTCTAGGGTGTATTGTTAAGTGAGAAAGGCAGGTGAGCGCACCATCCCACAGCCTTTGTACACAAACATGAGTATATGCGCAAGCACTTGCATGCACACAGCCTGTAACCAGAAGTATACACAAGAGACTGACCATAACACTGTTGTTCTTACAAAGATGAACTGGGGAATTTAGGGAGGAAAACACTCTTCTGCAATGTATGAATTTTTAAATTATATTTATGCATCTCCTAGATTTACCAAGTATTAACATTTCCAAAAAGAGGACTTGGAATGAACAGCAGCTATGGAGTCTGTATATATGATCTAGAGAATATAGACTATTGGGAGAGAGGTTACCATTGTTGCCTCCCAGAATCTGGGGGCGCCAGCTTTCAGAAGAGTGACCATGCAGGAGGCAGGGACCGTGTAAGTGGAAATGTGGCTGCCAACCAGAAGGTGGCACCACATAGTAAAGGCCTGAGGCTCAGCCTGCGCAGCACAGCGGATACCCCAAGAGTGACACTAACATTTTGCAAAAAGCACAAGATCTTTTGCAGCTGGTGTTCCCTTCAATCGGTATGATGAGAGCCTAGGTCACCAGAGATCTCTCAGCTCAAGGCTAAAACTGTCATCTGGCCACAATTTGGTTAAAAAAGTGAGAGATCAAGTTAAGCAACTACTCTTACGGTTAAAAAAAAATTAAAAAGTTTAAATTTAAAAAGCCATAACCTCAGATGAAACTGCTGAGCAAGCCAGGTCCCCAAAGAGATGCTTCAGAAATGACGTGTGCATGGGCAGCAGGGTGGCCATGAGGCTTGGGCTCCTGAGGGACCCTCTAGAGGAATCGGCTTGGAAGTGTGAGTTCTGGCTTAGGGAGCCCGGCCCTGGCGCGGGGTGGCACGCAGCTCAGCTCTTCTTGCGCAGCTGGCTGTACTGCGCGCGGCCTAGGATGGGCTCCATGACACTGGGCCGGAAGAAGCTGTCGCTGACCCTGCGCGCGGGCTTCTCGCGGGGCGTGGCCAGGAAGCCCGAGCGCGGCGCGGGGGGCATCTCCCCGGGGTCTCCTTGGTCGAGGCTGCGTGCTCCACGCATGCTTCCGCGGTGCTGCACAGGGTGTGGTGCCGACTCCGGGCTGGCGGGCTTCGGCCCCGAACCCTTGCGCTCCGCCTCCCGGCGTTCAGCCTCGGCCGGCGGGTGCTCGATGTCCCGGAATTCGCTCTCGGGCTCCATCAACGACAGCCTGGGGAGCTGGGGGGCCGGGCAGGCGCGTTAAGGTCCCTGCTTGGCCCTCGTCACCACGCCTGGGACCCAGGACCCTTTCTGGACCCTTGCCTCCATCCCCCAAGAGCTGCCATCTCAGGACACAGGCTGGAGTGTAGGACAGCAGGATGGAAGCACGAGGGGAACCCCTGAGGTCTGATAACTCTGATCATCTGCAGGGAGATCCCTGGGGCAGGGCAAGACCTTTCCCTGAGGGAGTCAGGAGTCACTGACTCTCCTAATCCTTTCTTGGGCTATAGCTGTAGGCTGAGCAAGGTCACATATTGACCATGCCAGGGTCAGGTACCCCTCCCTGGGCATGGTTTGGGCCCAAGCTGGCTGCCAAGGTCCCTGGGCTTGGCTCTTGGGTGAGAATAATGGAGTAGCCCACCCCTGGCCAGCTCTGGGGTGCCCTATGCTCTGACTCACCCTCCTTGAGCCTGATCAACCTGAAACTTGCTCTGGGAAGGGGCCTAGGAACCTTAAAGGGGTGGCACTGGTGTCCCTTGGTTTCTCCTCTTGGTGACAAGGTATAGAATTGGGACTCAGCCAGCTGCTCTCTTGGGAACCCCCCCCCAAAAAAAAACAACACACACACACATGCCTGCCCAGGCAAGGGCACAATGTGCCAGGTCCTTCAGAAGAGGATGAGGGGTGAGGGCTGAGCCACTGGGGTCCCCAGAGTCCCCCAGTAGGAGGGGCCCTGCCTCTGTACTCTTGGGGCTAAGGAGATCCCAGTATGTCAAAGTGTTTCTGGGCACTGAAATTGGAAGAAGGTCTTCAGGAACTGGAGAGATGTGGTGGGCTGCAGCCCCTTTAGTCTGCTTTATCCATCCTGTCCAGGCCCCGGGGAAGATGGAGGGCTCCTGGGTGGGACTCACCGGCACGTAGTGCACCACTGTGTCCACCACGTTGTCAGTGACACCCTTCAGAGCATCCGACAGGGACATGGCTCGCCCCTTGATTGGGGTGACACCCGGGGCTGCTGTGAGGTGCAGCATCCTCCCTGCCGTGCCCAGCACAGCCTTGGGTGCCCATGTCACAGCTGAGATGGTACCCTGGAGCGTCTTCTGTAGGGCATACGCCACAGTGCCCAGGAGGCCTTTCGGGCCTGGCAGGTCCGCCACCTGAGGGCCAGAGCAAGGTCAGTACCCTGCAGCACTCTCTGACCCTGGCTTCCTCCCCCCAGGCCCAGAGCTACAGGGGAGGGCACGTGGATGTCAAACTGACAACTTCAGCCCTGGCTCTGCCGCTAGCTGTGTGGCCTTGGGCAAGTCACATTTCCCCTCTGAGCTGCTACAGAGAGTGACACAGAAATACTTTGGGCTGGGGACAGAGACCTTCATTTGCCTCTGCTTGTCACTCACCAAGCCTGGAGCTCCCCCACATCCCCTCACCTCACTGAGCATATTCTCCTCGGTCTCGGATTCCTCCTCCTCCGACTCCTCAGCCTCTGTGTCTGTCTGGTCATCATGTTCCTCACCCTGTATAGCAGCGAGGTTGTGCAGCCAGGACACTCGCACCTCGCTCTGTCGCCGCCGGGACACTACCTGCATGGTGGCTGATGCACCCCACTGGGCCAGGCTGCTCTGAGGGAGGGACAGAGCGGCTGACACTTAGCACCCACTGCTGAAGGCAGGGACTCCAGCAGCTGCACCCCCTAGTCCTCAGGGTCAGGGCAGGGCTGGCTCCAGCAAACTTTTCTTAAAACTCTGTTGAGTAACAGTTTAGGACATGGGAGGGTGAACAGTTCTATGAATTTTTACAAGCACACTCTGTGTAATAGATCAAGAACACACCAGAAGACCCCTGGAGGCCCCACTCAGTCCCGGCTCCCCCAAGAGTGACCACAGTTCAGGCCTCTAGGACCACACATTCATTTGTTTTTGTGTTTTGTTTTGTTTTGTTTCAGTGCTGAGAAAGAACCCCCAGCTTTGCTATCACCAAGCTGAGCTCTCCATCCCTGAGCTCACCCCAGCCCCTAGCTATTGTGGAGCTTCCTATAAATGGGTCACACACGTTTATTTGTTCATGAATGGCTTCTTTCATTCAGCAGTACACCTGACAGGCTCCCTTACTGTTGTACATGGAAGTGCTTCCTGCTTTCACCCATTGACAATCCTGTGTGCATCCACCACCCTCCACCCCTTCTACAGAGGACCAACATCTGCGCTGTCACCAGTTCTTGGCTGGTTATGAACATTTGGTTATGGACATGAACATTTTTCATACGTCTTTTGGGAGACACAGGGGTCATAATGAGGGAGGAAGGGAAGGAAAAAGGAAGAAGGAAGGAAGAAAGGATAAAGAAAAGACCAAAAAAAAAAAAAAAAGCTGGGATTAGCCAGGTCTAGTGGTGCACAGCAGTCCCAGCTCTCAGGAGACTGAGGCAAGAGGATCGTGAATTTGAGGCCAACCTGGGTTGCATAGTGAGTGCAAGGCCAGCCTGAACTACATAGCCAGACCCTATTTCCAAATAACAGTACCCTAAAAAACAAAAAACTGGGGGCAGTGAGGGATAAGGGCCAGCTGGGCTTTCTCCCAACAGAGGGTTTAGTGCTTTGCTTATTTAAGGATGACACTTCCTGGGGCCTGGATAGCAGTTGTCCTCACTGCTGGGATACATGGCAAGAGGCCCACTTAGGGGGAATGAGGTGGTAGGGAGGGGGTCAGAGGAGGAATAGGGAGACGGAAATGGGCAGAGGGACAGGACCACTCCAGCACCCCAAAGCTCTAGCCCTTCACTCCTCTTAAGGCCCTTTGTTTTTAGAGCTAGAGTCCCAGCCCAGGTTAGAATACTCCCAGGATGCAAGGGACCAGGGGAGCAAGCGGCTCAGGCAGAGCCCAGACACTCACTAGGGGTGCCACCCCCGGGATCCACATGGCCAGGGAGTGGCCCTGCTTCAGCGCCCAGGATGTGGTCTGCATGGCGTGTTGGGAGAGGGTGTTGGCCAGGGTCCCAACCCTACGCGTGAGGCTCGGCTTGGCCTTGGGAGGTTTCTGAGTCTGCTGGCGTCCAGGAACAGGGGCTGGATGGGGATTGGGGGGAAAGACGGAAAAACAGATCAGAGTGGAGCTGGGTAAACAGTAGGCCTGGTTTCACCACAAAGCACGGGGACAGGTGCTGCTCACTTTCCCTCTTACAAGATGGGGAAGGGAGGAGATAATGATGGGTCCCTCTGGAAACCCCTCTGGGCTGTCCCTACTCCAGTGGCTGAAGGATCCCTTGCCCAGCATGGGGTAGATGCATGGGGGCCCCTGGGTCCATGGGGTAGGTGTGCCAGCCTTGGTGTCAGGTACCTGACTCCTCCTTGCCTGGAGGGAGGAGGAGCTCCACCACCTTCTCAATGCCGCTCAGGGCCAGATCAGCCCCTCCAGAAGCCAGCCGGCCAGCTCGGGTGTTGGCAGCATACTCTGCAGACTCCTTGGCCACCCCCCAGGCCAGCTCGCAGCTGGCCAGTGTGGCCCCCAGGACCTTGTCTGATGTGCTTGCAATGGGCACACTGATGCTGTTCCGGGCACTGCGAAGGCGGCTGGAAATGGTGTCCTTTAGCTCTGAGGCGATCTGGGGGATGGGGAGCAGGGGTCAGCTGCTGGGGTCTCCTTGCAGGACTTGGGAGGCCGAAGGCCTCACTGAAAAGGCCCAAGGGACTGGCACTGGTATGTGGGCACCTGGGTTAAACCGGGCTTCAAAGGGAAAGGACTCTACCAATCCCCATGCCAACCTCCTGGATCTCCTGGCTTCTTTGCCTCTGCCAAGACACTGCCTCGTGAGGGAGGACAGCCCCAAAGTCACCCCCGGGGCACACTGGTCCTTCTCCCCTGGTGCCACTTCCCTAGATTCCTGTCCTGTGTCCTCTTGTCCTCTCAGAACGAGGGTCAGGCTGCATTTATCTGCATTTATACTGATGTACAGGTGTCGTTGTTCTTCCCACCAGGTCTGCACTGAAATAATTAGCCTTCCTCCTCAATAGCCAGCAGTTCCTTTGTAACAAAGACATTGTTGCCCTTTGACCAGAAAACCAGGCAGCTTTTGGCTTTGAAGCCAAAACCCTCATTTGAGCCCATATAGACCTGATGCCTTGGGGTCTCCACTTCAGGCTGTGTGACTGGGAGAAGTCACTAGCTTTCTCCTCTGTACAATGGGGTACCAAGCCCTCCCGCAGGGTGTTGGAAGAGAATTAAGTGGGAGGGCGCTAGGAAGCTCATGTCACAGCCTCCAGGGGCTCAGGGAAGGCTGAATGGGCCAGTAGCTGGTCAATAAAATGGGGAAGGCCAGAGACTCAAGACTGAAGTCTAGTCCCCAAAAGCACCTAACTGGGGCTTGTACCTTAGTAAATAACCCAGTAAAGATGTGGCCAGCTGAAGTGACTTGTTCGATCTCCTGGTCCATAGGCACTGGATCTCCAGGACATGGGATGCAGTCCTGAGACCCCAGTGAGTGTGCACCATGATCTTAGGCACCTTGGATCTACTGCAGGCCCACAGAGCCCCAGGTCCTAGGGACTGGTTTTAGGTGGCTGTGGGACCTGCCCCAGGGTCCTGATGAGTTTGCCCTGGGCTGGTGCCTGCTGTCCTGGAAACCCTGCCTCCCTTAGGGCCCAGCAGGCTCCCCGAGCTGGGACAGTGTTTTTGTGCAGTGCCACACCAACACTAGCAGCTCCTGCCCTCTCCCAGGAAGTGGTGACCACAGGGTACAGGGGCATCAGAGAAAGGGAAGGGGCTCACCTTTTCAGGAGGGTATTGGAGGGCTGGGATCTTTTCCTCCAGGTGGTCCAGACCCCGGCAGGCCAGCTCATTGGCAGCTGTGACTGGAGAGAAGGGTCGTATTGGGGTGAGCCCTGCCCCCACTGCAAGGACCGAGCAGTGGCCTCCATGCCCAGGAAAGCACCGTGCAGCCCTCAGATGCCTGGCCCTACTCCCAAGCATCCTCAGCCCAAGGCCCTTTGCCATCTTTAGCCCTCATCCACTTGTGACTCCCTGAGACCAGACTTCCTGCACCACACAGTGTGTGGCGTCAGGCAGGTCACATCCCAGTGCTTTATTTTTGAGATAGGTTCTCACTAAGTCACTTTAGTTGCCCAGACTAGGCTGAAATTCACATCCTCCTGCCTCAGCCTCCCAGAGTGCTGAGGTGTACCACCATGTGTGGTACCACAGGTGTGCAGCACCATGCCCAGGGGACCTTGCTTTTAACCAATCAGTGTTGAGATAAGGTTGACAGTACCAAGAGTGTCACAGACAGAGAAAAGATTTGCCGCCCCCCAGAAGATGCAAATGCTTCAGGGGATGCTGCTGGGAGCTGCAGAGGACAGAAGCTCTGAGGTCACAGTCCCGTCTTCAGGTGGGGCAAGCAGAGACCAGGGGAAGTAGGTAAGGAGCCTGCAGGCAGGAGCTCGAGCTGGGCCTATCTATCCTCCCCGTCTGCTGCTGCTTGGAGCCCTCGAGTACCACGGTTCGCTCCTTAGGGGTGGGAGGTACAGGACTTCTCAGCGCTCCTGAGATGTCTCAAAGCCCTGTTAAGAGCCAGCCTTGGGATCCTGTCTCCAGATGGGACAGGACAATTTGCACAGGCATGTTTGGCAAGCCTCACAAGGCCATCAGTCTCCCACTTCCAGGCCCCTGGCTGGTGGCTCTCTGCTGCCCTCACCTGTCAGGAGCTGGTACCATCAGCCTCTGGACTTGGTCAGCCGCTCTTTCTGCCCTCCAGCACTTGGGCCAGCTCTAGTGCCTGCTGCCCCCACTTCTGGTCCACCACAGTTCCCACCCACTCCCATCACCCCCCACATAGCCCCACCCAGACCTCCCCTGCAACTTCTTTGGTTTGTCATTGCCATCCTAGGAAACTGCCCCTGGGCTCCAGCTGAGGCTGCACAGGTGCAAAGAGATCTGTATCTAATATTGATGGATAAGAAGACCAGGTGATGGGATGCAGGCAGCGAGGTGGACGGACAAGCAAGTTACCAGGGGATCAGACAGACAGAGCAGGCAGAGAGCAGCAGGCAGACATGAGCAGGACTCACACTGGGTGGACAGCCTGCGGACCACTGGCTCCATGCCCCAGGCGGCCAGGCTGCTGGCACCCTGAACGCCCTTCTCATAGGCATTGCACACAGAGGCCACCAGGGGGTGGGCTTCCTTGGTGCTGGTGTAGGTCTTCTGGAAGCACTCACACGTGCCGCTCACCACCGGCAGCTGCAGGACTCGCTGCAGCACGTTCTCCTGCTCCTGGCAGGGAAGGAGCACATTCCAGTCAGCCCCTCCCCAGCCTCCCAGGAAGGGAGCTCACCCTGGTCCCAGAGGCCAGCCAAGTCCAAGGGGCCTGGAGGAACCTGGGCCAAAGATGTCTCTGGATGTTTGAGTCATAGGAGTGGCCTGCCATGCCTCACTGGGCACAACCAGGCTCTGCTGCTAGGGCCTCTGTTATCCAGGGGCCAGGCCAGACCCCAGCCTCCTCCTCTAGAGCTATCCACCCAAGATTTACTGGGAGACAACAAGGATTGTGAACACACCTTTCTGGAACTTTAATGGTGACTCTCCCACCCTTTCTAAGCCACAGCCTCCTGCCTGGGGATGCTGGTCCATAGCCAAGCACGCACACCTTCCCTCCCCATTGCTTCCTTTGTGAAGCTTCCGGCCTCTCCTCCCTCACATCAAAAGCTGTTTCATCCTCTCCTGGGCCATCTCTCATCCGTCTTTCTCTCCCAGGAGACTGTCGTCTCTGTACCCCTAGCACCTTGCCAGGCCCAGGAAAATTAGTTGGAGAAATAAATGACAGTCGGGGCTGCCTTGGAGAACGTGGAAGTTTAGATCTGCCCACATGTACAGAATCACAGCATCATGGCCTGCAGGGGGCTCTGTGGCAAGAATCCTTTCCAGAATTTCCCTGCTAGACTGGAGTTCTCCTCAGCTGGAGCTGGCCTCTCCCAGAGTGGCCTGTGGCCCTGTTGGACAGCTTTGCAGAGCTCAAGGCCGCCTCCACCCCCTGACCTACCCTCCATGTACAGGAGTAACCATGGGCAACTCTATTTCATCACTCAAGGGTTGGCCCTTCACATATTTCAAATCAAACATGTCTCCCTTTGGAAGACCCTTTTCCATAGCGAATAGCTCTAGGTCCTAATTTAGTTTATGAATAGTTCACACCATGGTCTGGTGATCCCCTCCTCTGGGTACACTGCAGTTCAACATTGTCTTTCTTTAAAACACAGCACTCAGGTTTGAAGACAGTGCTCCAAGTACAGTCTGAGCATGTGAGGTATAGTGGGACCATCGTTTCTTCTTTTGGCAGTGCTGTGCTCTTATTAAAGCATCTACCTGTGGCAGCTGTCACATAATTAAACCTCAGATATCTTAGGATCCTTAGTGGGAAAAGACTGGTCTTTGAGGGAAAGAACAGATTCTGAGCATGCAGAAGGTACCATTATGGGTGCTTTGGTGACTTCATTTAATTCCAACAGTGAGCCTGAGTCAACATTGTCACCAACACCCTGCCAATGTGGAGACAGAGATTCAGAGATGTGAAGTGACATATCTAGGATCACATGGCTAGTAACTGGCACAGCAGGATTTGAAGTCAGGTTTGAAATGGCATATCTGGGGGCCGGGGATTTAGCTCAGTGGTTCTGCCGCTTGCCTCACAAGTACAAGGTCCCGAGTTTGATCCCCAGTACCAAAAAAAACATAACAAACAAACAAACAAAAAAACCAAAATGGCATATCTGGGATTGGCTTCAAAATAACACCAGGCTGCAACTGATGGGGTGATGGAGCCCTGAAGTCATGTTGCTGGCAATGGGAAGGGCACATGGGACCTGAACAATTCTCCACCTGAAAATTAAACTGAGAAAACTCCCCACTCTGACCCAAATGCTCAAGCTCTGGGTAGTTTTGGATGTGCCACTGTGGCAGGGTTCTGTTCCAGAGGTGAGGACCTGTCCTGGTCTGAGTAAGAAGAGCCAATGAGGAGACCCACAAGGACAGAGCAGGCTATGAGATCTTAGCTTTTCATTCTGCAGGTGAGGTGGAAATTTGAGCTGGAGAAAGACCAGAAAACCTTTTTATGAGCTGGGGATTTAGCTCAGTGGTTTCGCTGCCTGCTGTGCAAGCGCAAGGACCCGAGTTCGATCCTCAGTACCAAAAAAAAAAAAAAGAAGAAAACCTTTTTCTTTTTTGTGGTACTGGGGATTGAACCCAAGCCTTCACAGGAAGCTACATCCCCAGCTCCCCTCTTCTTTAAAATTTTGAGCCAGAGGGCCAGAGATTTAGCTCAGTGGCACCACACCTGCCTTGCAAATGCAAGGTCCTGAGTTTGATCCCTGATAACCGGGAAAAATAAATAAAATAAAATAAAATTTTGAGCCAGGGTCTTGCCAAATCACTAAGTTGCCAATGCTGGGCTTGAATTTGTGATCCTCCTGAACCACCACACCTGGCTAAAAATCCCTTTAACATTTGGGACAGAGCTTTCAGGGTTTTGGACAAACCCAAAGGGGGAAAGAAATGTGCAAAAGAAGAACCCACCATCCATTAGAAAGGCTTAACAATGCACATGACTGTTCTATGCTTATTTATATTCTATGATTCAATATAAAATTTACCCTGCTGATCTACTGCAAAGGTTAAAGCCTTATTTCTAATAAAATGGGAGCCCAGTGCATTCATAACTTCTAGGTTTCACTATCTGAACTTTACCCAAATTCAAGAAGTGTCAAGTATATCTAAAAGTATCAAAATCACTCCAATGCAGTGAAAACCAGATGAAAGATAAACACTGGGTAGGGCCAGGTATTTACCTCAGTGGTACTGCACCTGCCTCACAAGCACAAGGTCCTGAGTTTGATCCTCAGTACCAAAAAAAAAAAAAGATAAACACTGGGTGTACTAAATGTCTACCTCATTCCCACGCACAGTGGTACAGGATGAGCCCTGGGAGGTGCCATTCACAGCCTCAATGATACCAGGGTCACGGAATGTTCCAGAACCCAGCTGTGCCCTGAACATATGTCCAGCTGGGTGGTGGACAGAGCATAGGGCTCAGGACATAGCATTTCCTTTCTTTCTGGTTGCCACCTGTCCCCTAGCCAGTATTTCTATCCTTTTTCTCCAAAATGGTTCATTTTTAATAGGCTTATCTTTTCTCCAGACCCTCTCACAGCCCTCTGCAAAAGGTGGTAAAACCAGGAATAACTGAGACACAGTCAGCAAACTGGGACTGCAATCTAGACGCATTTTGCTCAAAGTCCTTGAATCTCCCTCCCTGCCCCACCTATTCCAGCCACAGTCCATCCCAAGTCTCATGGCCCAGTACTCACAGGAAGGTCTCCATCCAGCAGCATCGGGCCCTTGTTCACTGCCATCGTAGCTCTTCCCACTGCAAACCAGAGAGTGTCACGCTGTGAGAAGCCCACAGGTTGCAGTCCAGAGGGTCAGGGACCCACTGCTTTTGGCCACCCACCAGGCCCAGGCTGCCAGCCAGCTTAGTGACCCTAGGAGAAGTCATTAGGTTGGAGAGTGGATGTCACACACAGGTGGCGACTCCTTAGGGTCCCACAGCCATGAGTAACTCCAGAGCCCACTGGCTAAGACAGATGTTTCTTATGAGGGCCCAAGATAACAAATAAAGACTGCAGGTAGCAATAAGGGATAGAAGATTTTAGACAAAATCTCAGGGCTCTTGAGTGTCCAAAAGAGACTAGAAGAATGAGCTTCAGGTTTAGTTGTTTTTTGTTTTTGTTTTCTGAAAAAGCTCTGAGTTAATTCTTCTATTTCTAAGCAAGTACCTCACCCCTCTATGGTCAGCCAGATGAGTACACAGTTACTGGTAAAACTCTCTATTTCAGCTGCATTCCGGCAAAACCAGCAGCCCCCAAAACGCTGCTCTGTCCTCCTGGTCCTTCACCTTGAGGCTTCCCCTGGGTGGTTTCCCTGCCCATCTCTCCAACCCCCAGAAAAATCCCCGAGAGCCCCTCCCTCAACTCTCTCCCTTTAGCACCCACAAACAAGCTGGGTACAGCCATGCCTTAGGACCTGCACTCACTGCCCTGGACTGCCTCACGGTCAGTGGTGGTGGAGCCAGGCAGCAGAGCGTCTCGGAGCAGAACTCTTCCAGCCACTCCAGGGAGTCTTGGACAATGCTCCTCAGGCCTCCAGCTAGAGGAGGACAGAGAGCAAGAGGAAGTTGGGCCAGCCAGTTGCCATAGTTATCTGACCCACGGTCCCCTGGGCTCACCCTAACTGCTACAAGGACATTTAGCCAATGGGGAGGTAGATTGCAGGGCTGATGGTGGTCCAGGCTCAGAGGTTTGATTATTCGAGTACCATGAAGCATCAGCTTGTAATATTTCTGGCCCTCAACTGGTAAAAAATTGCTTTCCATAAAGAAGCTATGGGGATATATACCATTAAACTCAAGCTCTAAAGTTCCCCGATTCTGTGATGTGGTCCTTTTCCCCAGAAGGTCCTGTGGGACAGTTTTCAACTTCTCCCATCCTTTCCTATTTCTAGCAAGGGGATGATTGAAACCTGCATGGGGACAGGGTCCACCTAAATGTACTAGTATTTGACTATGGAGATAAATTGATCTCAAAGATAAAAAGATGGTGCTTGTGTGTGTGTGTTGGGGGGTCAAGTCCTTGGAGCAATGTCAACCTCTGTAAATTCCGAGTTGAAGAAAATGTATTAAACTTTGCCTGGCCTAAGATGCCACTGAAGGACAGTGGGACAGTCAACCGGGTTTTGTTCTCATAAGTCTGGAGGAGGGACAGTATTGACAAGATTCTATAATGGACCAACAGCAGCCAGACGTCATTTCGTCCTCAGCAGGGACTCAAGCATGAGCCCAAGTTCTAGTTCCTGTCTTCAAAGATGATGGAGGTCAGTGGTGTTCAGATTGCTGAGGATCTCTTCATTAGAATGGGGAACAGAAGGGCCAGGGATTTAGCTCAGTGGTTCTGCCACCTGCCTCACAAGCGGAAGGTCCAGAGTTCAACCCCCCGTACCAAAAAAAAAAAAAAAAGAGAGAATGGGGAACAGAAGCACAACAACTGTTTCCCTTCCTGCTGGCAGAAGCCATGTATTGTACCGGTCACTCTCTGGTAATGTCAGGTGTGGGCAACAGGAGAGAGGCCTGGAGTGGGGAGAGACAACGAAGATGACCCTTGGTTATAGTCTGGATCTGTGATATAGTAAAGCAGGGCATGGGGGAGAGTTGAGCAGGGAGCTTTCAAAAGGAATACTATACATGTGACACAGTGGTTCCTAGAGATGCAACCTGGGCTTTTCAGACAGCAGCATTAGCAACAGAGGGGACAGGCAGTGTTTAATGAGGTGGCCTCTGCTCTCACTTCAAAGTCCAGAATTCTCTGGGTAGTTGTATCTGGATTGCACACTGGGCCAAAGGGCAGTTTGCAGCCTCAGGAGCAGCAGCTGTGGGCCAGAAGGAGCAGAGGGCTCTGTGCTTGAGAGCTCTGCTGACAAAGCTGGTCCTTTGGCCATTGCAGCCAGATTCTGGAATATGGGTGAGAGGTGAGAGGTGGTAAAGGGCACAGGGAGATCCCGAGGGAAGTGCTATTTTGCCAGCAGCTATTGCAAGGCATGGGGTTCTACCTTCCTTCTCTACCACGTGAGAGCAGGGGCCTCTGTCACAGGTAGATCCCCAAACTGAGCATGACACTCAAACACTCGTTGTGGAATAAACTCCCAGGCAACAGTGTAGAGTCCAAGTGTGTGGCCCATACCTCTAGCAGGGACTTGTGTTTGGTTTGGGGAGTCCTCGTGCATGTGGAGGTTCAGGGAGGGTTAGCTGGGGAGAAAGCTGCACAGGGACAGGCACCAGGTGGGGGGGTACCACTAAGGTTTATGCAAACTCAAGATGTGCCATTTCCAAACTCTGCCACCTACCCTACTTGCAGAGGACAAAGTATCAACCCAGCTACCACCAAAACATGCTCAATTCAAGGCAGACTTCTCCAGGCAGAAGCCAGCCAGCCACTGCCAGGCCTGCTGAGGGCAGCTTTTCAGAGTCTGGATAGAGTTTCAGAGGGGGGAACCCCTCAATCTAGAGTCCCCAGATCTAAATCCCTTGCATGCACAGCCAGAGCTCCCTCTACCAATGACAGACTGAATGGCGGGACAGCCCTCCTGTTGTGAACTCTGCTCCAAACCCAGAACACATTCACAGATGCCCAAGTCAGTTTTGTCCAAAAATTTATCAAACATAATTAATCTCTTACACAGAGGACCTGAACAAGGTAAAAAGAGTTATTTAAATTTTATGTGCCCTGCTCTAGCAGCTTTCATTTCTCTTCAAAATTCCCACAATATCCTTTTTCAATTCACACATTTTGATTACTTCAAAAACAGAGCACCAAGGACCTGAGTCTACTTTTCAAGAATCTCAATCACATTTATGGGAAACTTAATCAGTGCATATTTCTTTCCTCATTTCCTTTAGGATAAATGTGATTATGGCTTTCTCGGTGATGCTGACATTAGCCTCTGCTAATGGCACCCCATGTCCCATCTCATGTCCCTCAAGCAAAAGGACCTGAAATTACAAAGAACCCAACACCCCAGATGGGAAGAGCACAGGTAAAGTCATTGACTCAATATATCACTGGCCCCTGACTGCCCTTTCCCACCAACCCCCGTCACCCCAGGGATCAAAAGTCTGATTTATCACCGAAAATTGTGACCTTCCTCCATTCATAGAATACTCATGAAATTTTTAACTGTATACATTTTCTTGGAAATTAACGTGGAGTCGCCCAAACTGTTACATGGATTTAAATTTAAAAAATCATCTGGATAAACCTAGACGATTTAAATTTTTGTACAATGGAATATAAAACCCTAACAAGAGTTCCAAACCTGGGGAGCTAAGAGGCAAAAAGCCCAGGATTCTGAATTCTAGGGCTTTTGCTCCATCACGAAGGCCATGAGACATCATGAAAGCCCACTGTCCAGGAGTCAGGGGAAGGAGGTGCTGACCTCAGCTTTGTCTGTCTTCCAGAATCAATTTCCTATCATCACAGATTACATAATAGGCACTGTTGTAATGTTCCACCTACTTTCACTTCAAGTCCCTTTCACCTACTTCTGATCCGTGCTTACTCACTGCATCACTGAAAGATTGCTGCCCACAGACACCTGTAAACCACAGAGGTGCCGACATATTTCAGACTACTTCTGGACACAGCAATGACAATGTGCAGAGATAATCAGGGCCAGCAGGATGAGGGGCTCGAGCTCAGCTCACCTTCACCCTCCTCTAACATCAGGGGAGGGGGTAACAAATGATGGAGAATAAAAGGGGCCACTGCCAGTCAGATCCTAGTGCTGGGTGCATGCGAAACCAACGATCCATACAACCCAGCCCATACTACACACTAGTGTTCACTTATTAGCTTGATTAGGTCTTTTTCAATCATTTTTAAATTTTTATTCATTCCTCAGACACTAAGCTCCTACTACGCATGAGAGATGCTCAGGAAATGTTAGAAAAGGGCAAATATTCAGAGGCAACACTTTACGAACATCTCAGCTCATGTTCTACTCTTGGCCTTGCCTCTGCTCACATTATAGGTTGCTGAACACTCATGTGGACAAAAACTTCATCACAGTATGATGTGGTTTGTGACTAATGCCAATGCCCGCCCGTTCCACTAAGGCATCGCCTTCAAAACAGGCCCTGGAGCTTGGCCTGCAGCCGCCCTAGCAGGTCTTCAGCTTCAGGTGGGGATACACCACAGTGATGATGCCTGCGACCGAGGACACAAGACCCCCGAGCCCAATGACACCAACAGTGGACTTGTAGATCCCCAGCTGGTCCAAAGGGATCAGGATGTCACAGAAATTCTTCACTGTGTCGAGGAACAAGGGAGGATGTCGCTTCAGGGATCGGAATAAGAGGAGAAGAAAGGACTGGAGCCATTCCGTCTCCTCATCAGCCACGCTCTGCCTAAGAGGATCCCTGGATGATGATTTCCCTCCCTTTGCCCTTTCGTGGGTCACCTGGGCCATCTGCAGGGAGATTTCATACAGGTCCCTGGCCAGGCTCAGCAGCAGGAAGTAGTAGTAATGGCGGGCAGCCCACATCTGCCACTTCTCTTTGTTGATGCCAGAGGCGAGACCAACGTTCTTCACCCAGAGGACAGTGTCACAGATGAAATAAACCACACGGTTCAGGTTGGCTAATGTCAGACATAAGCGGGGCACCAGGTCAGTGGCGTGGATGCTCTGCTCGGTTGCCTGGATAGCATGGACCACATTGCCTAGCCGGAACCCTGGGGGAAGAACGCATTCTGTTAATGCTGTCTTGTTAATACACAGCGGGAAAGGGAGGCACCGTGAGGACCAGCACTGGAATCTTAACAACTGGCAGGCATCTGAGGCTCAGACATGGTTCAGGGAAGGAGAAGGCCTTTACAGTACATTAAGGACACCTGGAAGGCTCACGAGACAGTGACTTTTTAAAGGTACCTCTTCCATTCGAGTGAGCACCTTAACGCTGATTTATAGTACACCCTGGGCAAGGTTAATCGGGAGTGTGGGCTGTGACATTTGAGTGTCATCGTGGCCTACATTTTTCAGAAGGAAGAACTATCCCGATGTGAATTCCAGGGGCAATATTCTCTTGGTATCTGATGCTTTACACTTTATTTTCTGGACAAAAGATTGCCCTAAACAAATTATTGCTTTGCTATTTCTCTGGTCCAAATCCCACCTGGCTATCTACTTGCAAGAAGAGACTGGAGATGACAGGGTTTAGTGGATAGGACAAGTAATATTGTCGTATGTGGCTCCTAGTGGAATTAATCACCACTGCAACTGCATGTCCTCATGGAAGTGTGTAATTCAGTTAGTCAGGGATGCATCAGTCAACAAGTACTTACTGAGTGACTGGAGAATGAGCTCTAGTCCTAAACATCACAGAAGGTACACAAGGTCATTTCCTTAGAGGCCTACACTGTAGACTCAGTAAGGGCTCAGAAGTGGCCATTCTCAGAACACTTACTCAGAAAAGTACTTGGTATTATTTTACCAAAAACAACACAAAAGAGTTTATATAATGATTGTACCGGTACAGTACGTGGATGGCCTCTGGCACTAACTGGCTGAATGACCCTGGATAAGCTCCCTCCGGAATTTAGAGGCCAGAGATCTCTGCAGGAACTTTGAGCTCTACCATTCTAAAGAATTTCAGGCACAAGTTCTCATCTTGGCCTTCAAAACCACCCAGAAAAGCTCACCCCACCCTCCCCACACCTCTACTTGGCAACCCAAATTTTCTCTTTCTGAAAAACTAGTTCCTTAGTTTTGCACCAATCCTTCAATCACAGGGTTTGCTTGTAACAGTTTTGAATCTTGGCCAGAGGAAACCACCCTTCAAGGGTGTTCTTTCCTCCAGATGTGGTGGCATAGCCTACAGTCCCAGCACACTGGAGGCTGAGGCAGGAGGATCATGAGTTCAAGACCAGTCTGGGCTACATAGCTAATTTAAGGCCAGTCTGCACTGACCTTGTCTCAACTCCCTGTACCTCCAAAGACTGCTCTTTCCATCTTGCCAGCCACACCTCAAGCTCCACCACCTTCTCCAAATCTATGTATCTATCCCTCCATCTTTCTTTCTCTTTCTTTCAGTACTAGAGGTTGAATCCAGGGCCTCTGCTCTGAGCTAAATCCCTAGGCATTTTTTGTTTTTTTGGTTTTTTTGAGACAGGGCCTCAAATTGCTAAATTGCCCACACTGGGTTCAAACTTGTAATCCTCCTGCCTCAGGCTGTCAGAGTGCTGGGATAACAGATGTGTGCCACCATGTCCAGCTCAAAATATCTTTCTTTTCCTCTACCCCAGCCACCACGTTTGGCACTAAATCTTATATCATTATTTATAACACGTGGTCTCATTTCTCCCATAAAGATGAAGACTATTCCTTTATGAAGCAGATGATCAAAACCAATTGATCAATATGTGATGCTGTTCATCCTATTTTACTGTCTCTGCTGGCCTACTGTAGCCACATATGACCCTCATCAAACAATGAGTCAGGCATGTGACTGCTTTGAGATGCTTGGGATTCCCCAGGAGGATCTGTTATGAAAGTGGAGTAAATGAGTGCAAAACACTGCCTTGGCCTTTTGCCTTCAACACAAAACTGCCTGGTAAATAATCTAAGGAAAGGTATCCATCCAGCAATCCTTAAGAGAAGAATGGAAAAGGGAAGACCGTCTAGGGCAGAGCTATTCTGTGCTTCCTTAGAACAGTGAGCTCACAAGAGCCAGAGGCTCATGTCAGGGATGATCAAGATACTGTGTGATTCTCACAACAGAGGTGAAGCCATACAGTGACACAAGCCATGGGTCCGGGTCAGGAGAAAGCAGAGGATTGGGTAGAGCACCAACTGTGAACACGCAGTGGTTTGTGAACAGTCTGTAGCAAAACAGTCAACCTCAGGGGCCTGTACTTCCACCAGGCAGCCTTCCTGGTTAACTTCATCAATAAACTCGGTTCATGAGAAATTAAGACCTGGAAAGCCTATTGTGAATTATAGGGTCTGAGGCGTCTAAACCAGGAGCCACTGTCCCTTGAGAGACAGGGTACTTACATTTACGGCCAGTGCTCACACTAGACTCCAGTTTCTTGAGCTTCATTAGCACGTCTTCCCCAGCTTTGGGCTCTAACAAATATCTAAGCAACATGCATGTGTATTGAGTGGCTCTGTAATGGAAAAAAAATGAGGAAAATGATTTACAAACCAAATAAAACTTGATTCATGAAGCAAGGCAAAGGGAAACATATGTTGCTGAATGCAAAGTTTCCAAAACAATTTCTCATGTGGCAGCTCTTACACGAGCAACATTCTGCAATATTCATTCCACAAGAGGGCCAAAGGGTAGAACGTGCAATGGGAATGCAACACAAAGGTTATGAAAGGGAATTCTGCAATAAAGCAGTGCACAGCCTGCCAAAGGTGCAAGAAAACGGATGCAGTCAAAGTAGGAAAACACACAGAAATCTCCCTCATGTTGAATCTGCAAAGATCCTTATTTGTTACTTTCTCAGTGCAGAATGATTTCTGGATTTCTATAATGAACTTTTCTACCACATACCTACTACTTACATGATAGGACACAACCTCAAACCAGAACCAAATGAAAAGTCTACAGTCTGAATATTGTTAAGTTTTTTAAAACTAAAGGACCAGACATATACTAGTATACAAATTAGATATATTTTATGTCTTTGGAAATTATTTGATATAAAACACAGATAGCATCCTGTTTAATATAGTATTATTCAGGGAAGGGGTTACTGTCATACCTACAAATAGCAATGACTTACTGATAAATATAATGAGATATCTGACATCACACAAACATCCAAATGGATGGCAGTCTGTAACAGTAGATTCAGCTCCTAGTATCCTGCATCATATAAATATTAACCTCAATAACAATGTGGCACATTTTCCAAAACGGTGAACTTGTTTTGGGGAATGAAATAAAGAGAACATAGGGCCAGGGATCTGCCTCAGGGGTTCCCTAGCATGCCCAGGCCCTAAGTTGGATCCACAGCACACAGAGAGACAGAGAGAGCCAGAGACAGAGAACAATTTGTCTTTCCCCATTTAGTGGTACTGGAGATTGAACCCAAGCCCTTTGAACTGAGCTACATCCCCAGCTGGGGATGTAAAAAAATTTTTAAATTTTGAGACAGGGTCCTGTTAAGTCGCTGAGTTACCCAGGGTGCTGGGATTATAAAAGTGTGTGCCACTGTACCTGCTCTCTGTCTTGTTTTAAAGTGTGCTTTCTGGCTAGAGGGCTCAGGCTGCTCAGGTCAGTACATAGAGAGGCCCTGTCTCGAAAAACAAAAACAAAAACAATAGGGCCAGGGATTTAGCTCAGTGGTTCCACTGCCTGCTTCTCGAGCACAAGGACCCGAGTTCGATCCTCAGTACAAAAAAAAAAAACAACAGTGAATCTCCCTTTCTTAAATTTGGTCTAACAGGGCCGGGGATTTAGCTCAGTGGTTTCAACGCCTGCTGCGCAAGCACAAGGACCCGAGTTCAATCCCCAGTATCAAAAAAAAAAAAAAAATTAGAAGCAACCCACCTCAATTTCTCATTTTTTTGTTTTTTAATTAAAAAAAAAAAAAAAAAAAAAAAAAAAAAATTGGTCTAACAATAGAAGGGCCTCAAACAAGGTGTTTTGTTTTTGTTTTGGAATGCCAGTTTGTTCACTGAAGTTACAGAGATAGATCATTAGGAGGGTTGGGAAATGATGATAGAGATCTTGGATCTTACTGAATAAGTATACCCTAAGAGACTATTAATCAATCTCCTTTATAAACCTTACGGGCTACAATATAGGCATACTGAAATTACAGGGTTTTGTTTTTCCAGTGCTAGGAGCTATATCCTCGATCCTTTAAAAAAAATTTTTTTTTAAATTTTGAGATAGGGTAAATCCCTAAATTCCCCACGCTGGACTCAAAGTTGCCATCTTCCTGCCTCAGCATCCAGGAGGGCTGCGATTAGAGGTTTCTGCCATCAAACCTAGATTTCTGTTTTAATGAAGCTTTAGATAATGTAACCACTTTGAAACTCTAAAGAATTTTTAGAAAGGCAACAGTTATGGTTAGGAAGTGACCACTGAAATGAAATGTATGGACTTCTATCTCTCAGCTCTTGCCAGTTCTACCTATTAGCTTCCTTCTGTTTCAGATTCCCCATCAGTGAAATGGGGATTTTTTAATACTATCTACATCCTAGGGTTGTGATAAGGGCCAAGTAAATTAATAGTAGCAAAACAGAACAAAACTGATACAAGGGTAACTTCCCAAAGTCCCCTTACTGAGGCTCCTCTTCCTGTGCCTCTGTGTTGCCCCTTGAATACCCAGAAGAAAAAGAAGAGCTGTTAAGTAGAACAGCAACAATAACCTTTTTTTTTTTTTTTTTTTAAGATTATCGAGCAAGAAAGCACTGTGGAAATCAGTATGGAGATACCTCAAAGAACTAGGACTGGAAGCCCCATTTGACCCTGCTATTCCACTGCTGGGGATCTTCCCCAAAGAATTAAAAGAATCATACCACAGTGATATATGTGCACCCATGTTCATAGCAGCACAGTTTGTAATAGCTAAAACTTGGAAACAGTCCAAATGCCCATCAACTGGAGACTGGATAAAGAAAATGTGGTTTTTTTTAAATAAAATGGAGTACTACTCAGCCAAAAAAAAAAAAAAAAAGAGAAATTAGAGACATTTATAGCTAAGTGGATGCACATTGAGGCAATACTCTTAAGTGAAATAAATAGGACACACATGTGTAAATACCGAATAGTTTCTCTGGTGTGAGAAACTGAAAGTGTAAATAAGGACTAAAATGTATAATAGGTAATGTGAAATAGGAAGAAAAGGGGCAAAAGGGAAGGAAGTGGGAGGGCTAGGGGAAAGGATAGAAGGGAATGGGATTAATATGAGAAAATGGAAAAACAGGAACAAAATCTTTGTAAATAGGGAGGAATGGAGGGGTTGAAGGGAGGGCTGGGCAAGGGTGAAAAATAAGAACCAAGAGAGACTATGTAAAGGTGCAAATTTCCAATGATGAATGTCATTATACTGTATACCTAAAATGTACCAATGATTAGAATGAATAATCGATAATGCAAAATAGGAAGAAAAGGTCCAAAGGCGTAGGGGTAGTGGGAGGGGCAGGGGAAAGGAAAGAAGGGTAAGGAAAAATGATGAGAAATGGAAAAAATGGAAATAAAGTCTTTGTAAATAGGGAAGGGTGGAGGGGGTGAAGGGAGGGCTAGGAATGGGGAAAAAATAATAACCAAGATGCATTATGTAAAGGTACAATTCCCAATGAGAAATGTAATTGTGTTGTATACCTACAATGTACCAATAAAATAATTTTATTTAAAAAAAAAAAAAAAAGATTATTGAGCAAGAAACACCCAAATGGCTGACAGAAATACTTTGGGCAAGGATCAGTACTAAAGACACAATCTCTGATAGTTTCGAGGGGACAGCATGTGCTCAGGGGAGTTCTGTCTCCACTGTATTTTTACAGTTTACAACTCTCACACGCAGCACCTTCAAAGCTCAGATTGAGTAATAATAATGGAAGATAAGGAAGATAAAACTTCTGTTTCTTCATAAGCATTTCAAGGGGGTATTTGAGGACACAACTAGTGGTTTGCTTCAGGAGCCACAAATACCAATCCCACGTTCTTTTTTAAAAGAAATCTCTTGGAAGAATATTGTGTGGCGAGAACTCAACTTTCCTTTCCCGAGAGAATCTGGGAGAGGGGCGGGTTCCCAGCCGCACTGGGACTCAGGGGCTCGGAGACCAGGTCCTTCGTGGGGCTGCCACCGCCCACCGTCGCTGCTCCGGGGTCCGACCTGCTCCTTGTCTGGGCGCAGAAGGACCGGTCCCGCCACCTACCAGGGTGAGAAAGGGGTGGAGGCGCCGGCACCGGACTCACCTGAAGAGTCGGTCCCGGCCCTGGGTCTGGTTGGCGAAGCGGATGAAGGCGTCCATGGCGCCAGACCCAAGGCCGTGCGTGACAGGCTCAGTGGCCGGTCCTCTGGGACGCCGCGGGTCCCGGGGGAGCTTCCGAGCCTAAGGGCGAGTGGGCGGGGCCGAGCTTCCGCCCGCGTGGGGGCGGGCACGCCTTCCTAAGCGCCTCTTCGCGGGCTTCCGGTCGGAGCCGGAAGAGGTGGTTACTAAGGCGACGCAGGACGCCCTGCCAGGTGAGCAATACTTGGGCTTTCTAAACTCTGGGGCTGCGGCTCCATTGGTGTCTGAGGACTTTGATTGCTAGCTAGGTGTCGGAGTGGAGGCTCTGAGGGGGCGCTTCATCCCCTTCATAGGTGTCCTCAAACCTCCGCGGAGACCCCGGGTGAGAACTCAAGGTGGAATCTTGAACCTATGCAGCCCGGGAACTCCCCTGAGCCTTTGCTTGGGAACGCGGGGCCTCGTCATGTCCGAGAGCGGTGGCTCTCTACCCTTGGAGCTGGACCAGCTCCGGGTTTGGTGAAGAAAATGCTCAGAGCTAGAATGAGCCTGTTCCTGAATGTATTCCTATTTGGGGAGGTGGGTAAAATGAGAATATTCGATTAGGATTACTGAACGATTACTACCTGAGGAAATCCTAAAAGGGTCAACATGAACAAAATAGAGTCAAAGGAGATTACAATGAAATTGCACCACTGAACATTCATTCTTTGAGGCTTCAAGATACAGCCCCACTCATGACATAACTAACTTTATAAGATGTACCCCCTATAGTCACAAATAAGGTTACATTTTTTTGTTTGTTTTTGTGGTACTGGGGATTGAACCCAGGGCTTTCGCAGAGGTACAACTCCAGCAGCATTTTTTTTTTTCTTTTTGGTACCGGGAATCGAATTCAGGACCTTGCTCTTCCAAGGCAAGCATGGGCCACTGAGCTAAATCCCCGGCCCCCAGCAGCTTTTAAAAAAATTTGTTATCTTTTTGGTTTTTTGAGACAAGGTCTCACTATGTAGTTCAGGCTGGCCTTCAACTCACTATGTAGCCCAGGCAGGCCTTGAACTCACAAGGATCCTCCTGCCTCAGTCTCCCAAGTGGTAGGATACAGGCTTGTGCCACCACACCTGGCAAAACTTTTTTAAGACAGGAATTTACCAAGTTGCTAAATTGCCCAGTCTGGGCTCAAACTTGCAATCCCCCTGCCTCAGCTTCCCAGAGTGCTGGGATTATAGCCATGCACTGCTATACTCTGCTAGTTTACGTATTTTTGTAATCTTTATTTTCCCAGCCTTTTCCAACTGCCCCTTCTCCTCTGGTTTCTGGCTCCACCTACCAGTCTGAAAGGAACCTGAGAGCACTGTGTAGCTCTCCAAGCCACACTCAAGTGCTGCCCATACTCCTGCAAACAACCTTGCCTTGGGCACTTTCAGGTCCAGAAGTGCTCCCTCACATTAGCTGCTAAATCTGCCTGCAGGAGAAAGCTGGGAAAAGCTCATATAGGATGTGGCATCGTTTGGGCAGTTATTTCTAGGGATATAGGTATGCACAACATGGTCTAGATCATTGATAGCAAACCTTTTAGAGCTTTCAGTGACAACAAACAGCCAGCTGTGATACATGTGCCACAGGTTTGCCACCATTAGTCTAGACTCTATGAGAAAGAAACTAGGCTGTGGGCAGTATATCTCCTTGGCCCCGCGGATTACTCACCCTTTACAAGGAGAAGTGCCCTTCAGAGAGCCAGAAGTTTTCTCTAAGTACATGGCCCAGGGCAGGGCATTCCTATGAGCAATAAGAATTTTGTGAGTTTTGGCCACGTACCAATTACTGTACTAATCTCTAGGCCTAGGGTAATAGGTTAGTAAGGGACACAGTAAATCAAGACATACAGTGTGTTATGTTAGGTGACAGAGAAACTGCTAAGCATGGATTTATATCATGTTTTCTATGCCTGATTTTGCTTTTTCCACAATATTGCATAAATTGAATCATGTAGTATGTGCCTTTTTCTATCTGACTTATTTCATTTAGCATAATGCAGTTGAGCTTCATTTATGTTGTATGTATTACTTGTGATTTTTATTGCTGAGAAATTTCTTAATGTGGATGAATCATAGTTCATTATCCATTTACCCACTGAAGTATATTTGTATGGTTTTCAGTTCAGGGCAATTACAAATAAAGCTGTTACAAATATTTAGGTACAGATTTTTTCTATGAAACAGAAGTTTTTATTTTTCTCTCACAAACACATAGGAGTGTGACTGCTGAATCATATATGTTTAATCTTGTAAGAAACTGCCAGACTGTTTTCCAAAGTGGTTATACTATTTTGTTTTCCCACTGACAACATGTGAAAGTTAATCTGTTTGCCAGTTGGTAAATATTGGCTCTTTTCTACTTTACTGTTCCTACAAATAATGGACATATGTTTTCAGTTCCCTGCCAGCACTCCTGGGAATGCAATGATGGGGCATTATGATAGGCACATGTTTAACTACCCCCCCCACACCCCAGGATCGGGGACTGAACTCAGGACCTTGAGCTTTCCAGCCAGGGGCAGCTCCCCTGAGCTAAATCCCCAGCCCATGTGTTTAACTTTTTAAGAAACTGCCAAACTCTTTTCCAAACTGGTTATTCCAGTGTACTTTCCCAACAGCACTGTTTGAGGATTCCGGTTCCTCCACACCCTTGTCAACACTTGGTACAGTCTATGTAACTTTGAGGCATTTCAATACATGTGTAGGTGTATCCCTTGATTTTAATTTGCATCAGATTATACTGAACATCTTTATATGTGCCTATTTGCCTTTTTTTTAAAATTTGCCATTTATATATATTCTTTGGTTAAGTGTCTGTACAAGTTTTTTTCCCCTTTAAACTATTATATTATTTCTTTTTTTATTATTGGGTTTTGAGAGCTTTTTAAATAGTCTAGCCAGATGTGGTGGCACATGCCTATAATCCCGGCACTGTGGGAGACTGAGGCAGGAGGATCACAAGTTTGAGCTGACTTAATGAAACTCCCTCACCATGTCCTTGTTGAATCACACTTACCTACAACTCCTGGAAACCACTGATCTGTTCCCCATTACTCATTTCATATTTCAGGAATACATATTTCAGAAATGGAATCATGCTGCATGTAAATTTTGAGGCTGGTTTTTTCCACTTAGCATAATGTCTTTGAGATTAATCTATGTTGAATGTGTCAATAGTTTTTCCCCTATTACTGAATAGTGTTGCATTCTGTGGATATACCACAGTTTGTTTAGCCATTCATCTGTTGAGATCGTTTAGATTAGTTTCCATCTTTGACAATTATAAATGGAGCTGCCATAAGTATTTACGTACAAACTTCTGTGTGAACATTAGTTTTTTTGGTTTTGTTTTTGGTTTTTTTGGTGGTACCAGGGATTGAACTTGGGACCTTGCGCTTTCATCGCGGGTGACGGAACCGCTGAGCTAAATCTCCTGACCAAACATTAGTTTTTATACTCCCGAGGTAGATACTAAGGAGTGGATTGCTGCATCATATAGTAGGTATGACTTTATAAGACCTTGCCAGATCTTTTCCTGAGTGACTGTACTATTTTGCATTCTCAACAGCAGATCCTGAAAATCCCATTTTTCTCAGTCTTCACCATGCTTAGTACTGTCAGCTTTTCTTTTTTGTTTTAGCCATTCGAATAGTCATTCTAAGATGTAGTAGTGATATATCAGTTATTTAGAAGTTGTTTGTTTCCTAATATTTTGAGGTTTTGTATATTTCTAAACATTTTTATTTTATTGATTTCTAGAATAATTCTTTCTTTTTTTTTTTTTTTTGTACTGGAGATCGAACTCAGGACCTTGCACTTGGGCGGCAGGCACTGGAACCACTGAGCTAAATCCCCGCCCTTAGAATAATTCTTTTATGCTCAAAGAACACACTTTTTATGATTTAAGTGTTTGTTTGTTTGTCTGTTTGTCAGTTCTCCTGCCTCAGCTTCTCAAGTGCTGGGATTACAGGTTTGCACCACCACACCCAGTTCCATTTATCAAGAATTGATTTGTGGCCTGGAATTTAGTTTGTCTTGATAAATGTTTCATATATACTTAAAAGAGTTTGTACTCTGCTGTTGTTGGGGGGTTGTGTTCTATAACTATCAATCATCAGATCACATTGGTTAATAGTATTTTCAAGTTTTATGTATCCTTATTGATTTTTGTCTGCATGTTTTATAAATTGAGACTAGATTATTGAAATCTCTGACTATAATTAAAGACTTGTCTATTTCTTCAATGAAATTTTCTCAGTTTTTGCTTCAAGTATTTTCAAACTCTTGTTATTAGCTGCATAAATGTTTAGGACTGTTATGCCCTTTTGATGAATGGACCACTTACTTTATTAGTGAACTTTTTTTTCCTAAGAATAGGAAATATTTATTGAGGGAAAGATAGCTTCTGTCTAAGAGAGACAGAAGAGGGGCCAGAAAAAGGGTTGTCTCTCATCAGTGAACTTTTTTAACCCAGGTTATATTCTTTATTCTGTAATGTCCTATGTCTAATATTTATTTATTTATTTATTTATTTATTTTTATTTTATTTTTCTTGGTACCGGGGATCAAACTCAGGTCCTTCCGCTTGTGAGGCAGGCGGCGGAACCACTGAGCTAAATCCCTGGCCCTGTCTAATATTAATTTAGCCACTCCAACTTTCTTTTGATTAAGTTAGCATGATGTATCTTTTTCTACCCTTTTAGTTTTAATCTATAGGAGTCCTTATATTTAAGTGAGGTTTTCATATGTAACATGTACAGCGTCTTGCTCAATAGTGTTACCTGACAATTTCCACTTTTTCTTTTTTCTTTCTTTTTTTTTTTTATATGTACCAGGGATCAAACTCATGTCCTTGCGCTTGCAAGGCAGGTGGTGGAACCATTGAGCTAAATCCCTGACCCTACAATTTCCACTTTTTGATTGGCATATTTACATTTGATGTGATTATTAATATGGTTATTGCTATTTATTTTGTTTGTATCATCTATTTTTTGGTGGGTTTTTTTGTTTTTTGTTTTTTGGTATCAGGGATCGAACTCGGGACCTTTTGCTTGCGAGGCAGGCAGTGGCACCACTGAGCTAAATCCCCGGCCCCAATGTATCATCTGTTTTTTGTTCCCTTTTCCTCTTCTTTGCCTTTAAAAATTATCTTTATGAGTCTATTTTAATTCCTTTGTTGGCTTATTAGTTTTTGTTTT